CATAGCTCAAAAGTGTGGTCAGTCTGGTCCCCCTAATGTCTCAGTGTCTGTTACAACATGCCCTCAGTAATCATTTGTTGAAGAAGGAAAGCTAGACTAGCCCAGTTCTACAACCCACAGTTAAAGCAAGGAGCCCAAAAAATCTCCTTGGTTGCCCATGCCGGTGTTTAAACACACTCATAGCATCAGCTGCTCCTTATAGCTGATCTCATTGTCCCACAATAGTGTTGTAAGAGCTGCCTCAGAAGGTAGGAGAGCCTGGTGCTTTAAAGAAATGCAGATCTGGATTAGAATTTCAGCCCCACTATTTATGAGTTGTGTGGCCTTGGACAAATTACTCAACATCTCTAAGCCTTGGGTTCCCCATCTATAAAATGGAAATAATAATGGTGTGTCAGGATTAAATAAGGCAATCATTACCTGGCACATATTCAATCCATGCACTTTGCTACTATTACTCCTACCCCCATGCCCCAGAAGAGTGGGCAGATAAGAGGTCAGGCTGGGGCCAGTGACCCAGAAGTCTTCCCTCCCATGTCCCCAGTGCTGGCAGAGGCAGGTGCTGGAGGAGCAGAGATCTATCCATGGTTGTACATGCTGGTCAGGCTGGCCAGGGCCCAGCTTCTGCAGCCCAGGATCCCATAAACTGCTTGGAACCTGAGCTAGGAATCTGTGAGTTTCCTAACAACTCTTTGTTTCAAAACAAGTTTATTGCAGCCTGAAACAAATGCAGGCGTGGTGGTTCCTTAAATTCAAAATGAAACAAAAGAACAGAAAACCACGGGGAACCTCTGTGTCCGAACCACATTTGAGGGCCTCCGGACCTATTCCCTGGCAAATTGTGTAGGAGGACAGGAGGGAACTCCCGTGTGGCACCCTCCCGGATTCTGAGCTCGAGTTCAGCAGTCCAGGGTCTTGAATTCAAAGGCAGTGGCGCCTCAGGGGTGGGACCGGCAGGGCTCGCCCTGTCCAGCCAGGACCAGGGCCAGGAGGGCACACGTGCCCCCTCGGCGCCCCAAGTCGGGAAGCACCCGCCCCCCTGCCAGAATCCTGGGAATGTTGCCGCCGGGGAAACACCTGGATGGCCTGTGGGGCAGAGGGAGGTGTCCAACTTGGAATTTCTTGGGTGCTTTTGCACAAAATTCCCCTCTCCCTCAAGGATTTCAGCCCCATTAAGTAGAAACTCATGGGAAAAGAAAGCTGCCTGCTTCTGCCCCAGGCAACCTTTGTCTTGACCCCTCCCGATCCTGGCTCGGAGAGCGACCCCACGCCTCCTCCTCAGCTCGGCAAGGAAGATCTCTTTGTGTTCGGGGAAGACCACCCTTGGCAGGCGTTTCCAGCTGGATTGTCGCCATCTTGTGGCAGGATTGGATGGCCACACTGATCCATCGGCCAGACCAACATGCCCACAATTTTCTTGGGTTCCAAACGTACCTTTCCTTTCCCCAACCAGCCGGGAACTGGAATTTTAAAATCCCGTTGCCTGCACATAGACGCTGAGCTGCGATGCTCTGTCTCCTCCTCTCCCAACTCCATTTGTCTGTCTTCCTAAAAGCAGTCACATGTTAGTTGGAGAGTCCTGGAGTGGCCAGGTGCCCCATGCCTTCCCGAGGGGCTCTGCCGGCAGAGGGGCTCTGTCTCTGGAGGCATCAACCTGAACAGGGCGCCAATCCCCCACCAATTTCCCATGAGACAAACCAATGATTATGAAGACAGAGACGCACTTTGTCTTGTTCCTACTGGTTAGTAATGTTATTATACTTGATGTGTATTATTAAAGGACCCCTGTTATTAAAGACTCCCTATTATTATTGTTATTGTTGTTAATATTATTTAGCATTTATAATGTATTCTGTATTTTCAAAGCACTCAAAGACTATTATCTCCTGTATTTTCCAAACACTGCATAAAGAGGCAGGCAGATGACAACTTCATTTTATAAAATAAAGAAATTGAGGCACTGTAATTACTGCAGAGTGCATGGATTAAGGTGATAAGTCAACAGTAGTCATTTCTTCCTAGCTGATTACTGGTGTCATAGATTCCAGTAGATGGTAAATAGACACCCTAACTTGGGAAACTAGTTTCTCTCACTCACTTTTACAACTCATTGTAATCACAGAAACCCAGTCACAGAAGTTTTCAAACTTAGGAGTCATGTACTCATTATGTTAAGCATATGGATGATGTTAATTATATATATATTTTTTACAAGTCAAATACAATCCATCCCCCCAAAAAATGGTAGGGATATTACAATCAGTAAACCAGATGTATCTTGATTTGAAGAATCAGTTGGTTTTCAAGACAGATACTCTCATTCATTAGATACAGCAAAAATCAAACAAACAAACAAAAACATAAAATGCAGCCATTTTTTTACTCTCTCAGGCAAGGAACTATTTTCTGCTTTCAGATTTTGTTTTTTATTTTGAAAAGAAGTTTTGAGCCTTATCAGTAGGCACACTCATTACCACAATATCTTAAGTTCTTTTAATAACTTAGTTATCTTGTTGCTTTTGGAGAAAACTCACTTTGTTCATAGAAAGCAGTCACATTATGCACTCCGTTGCTGCTCCGATCAAAAGAAAAACCTCCAGTCATTTTGGAAGTATCCAGTAGAAAGATTTGGGTTTAAACTTTGTGTTGGGTCAGGATGGAAAGGGAGGTTTGAGAAGCTTTCTCTACCATCAGCTGTTTGATTAGCCTAGTCCCCAGCAAAACTACAAGGTTGAAGTTTGTCCTTGTTGCCTCCCCATATAACTTTTAGTGAGCTGCCTTTTTTTATTTTGTTTTTAGCCCAGATTGCACCAAAAATAATAAATTTATTTTTAAAAATATTTTGAAATAATTGTCCATTTAATGCTATTTGTCGTTATTATCTTTCAATTTGACAGAGAGAGAGAAAGCAAGCTGCCAGGTCTGGGGCCTGAACCACAGTCAGGCATGTGGGAGTCCAGTGCTTCAACCACCACACCACCTGCTAGCCCCAATACATTTCTAAATGTACATTAAAAAAAATAATTTTATTTTAATTTAATTTATTATTATTATTTTTTAATTTGAGGAGAGAGAGACAGACAGAGAAAGGGAAAGTGAGAAAGCAAGTCGCTGATTCTGGGACTCAAACTGCAGTTGGCCATGTGAGAATCTGGTACCTTTAACCACCATGCCACCTGCTGGCCCCTAAATAGACATTTTTAAACAAGTTGTTAGTTTCAGGAAAATACAGTTAGTCTTCTCAACCTTCCTGTGTATTCATTACAACTTACTTAGAAGGAATGTATTTGTAAAATGTATTAATAAATAGGGGCTCTTGTGAGCTTATTATAAAAAAAGAACTTTAAATTCATTATTCTTATGCATTGATCCTTTGAAGTAGATTGTCATTATTACCACTTTATAGGTGAAGAAACTAAAGTTCAGAAGTTCAAATAACCTGCCCATAGTCACATAGCTAAGAGGAGAGCTGGGATCAGAATATAGATTGCAACTCTCAGGCCCTCTGGAGGTCTGAGAAATAGGAAGCTACTTTTGCCCTCTGGGATTCTTCAGGTAAAAAAACAAGACTCAGAATTTTGAAAGACAAATAGGAAATGAGTTTAAAAATATGAAAAACCAAACATTCTTAGTCAGTAAGGAAAGGGTCCTCTGTGTTCATCTATTATCTGTTGTGTCTATAGCTGGATTCCTATAAGGCCAGCCAACTTCTGACCCTCATCTTTTTGTCTTCTGTCTTAGGCCAGCTTAAAAAGGTGGAAGAAGATGATCAGCCAATGAGTTCATGACTCCCCAAACTCTTTCAGATTCCTTCAACTTCCAGCCATTGGTTGTCAAGGGAGAACAGAGCCCTAACTGGGTATAAAGAGAGTCCAAAGCCCTAGGTAGTCCTGGTTGGAAAACAGATATGTAGATGCTTGCTAGTGTGGTAAGCAGGCATTTTACAGGATTCAGTAGATACTGAATAAGAAAAGGGCAATAAGGCCAACAGATGGTGTGTTGGATCCCACATGACTGCACACACAGAGTTCAGACCCAGTGAGACTATGACTTGGTGAGAAACACGCTGGGCATGTGTTTTGCAAGAGAAGAATGGAGGAGAAGGGATTGCAGCATGACAATCTCTCCTGAGGGAGGGTACTTTCTCTTTTTTCCTCTCTTTCTGGGTATCTCAGAAGAGCATAATTTCTCTGTCTTAGGAGAAATTAAAAAGAAAGGAAGGTAGGAAGGAAGGAGTGACATAAAAAGGGAGGCACTTTCCATTCAACTGTGAGAATTTTTAAATTGGCAGAAAATTGATAGGCACTATGGAATAGTAGGCAACAGTATAAGTTCTCTGGAGCTAGGCTGCCTGGATTGAAATCCCATGTTTATCACTTATTAGTTATGTGACATGGGCCAGTCATTTACTCTTTCTGAACTTCAGTATTTTTTCATCTGTAAAACAGGAGTGATTATAATACCCACATCACAATATTGATGTGAAGATTGTGTACTTAGAGCAGTATGTGGTCTGTCGTAAATACAATGCACATGCTAGTATTATTGTTGTAGTGAAAGGAAACTTTCGACAGAACCTATCTGGGCTCCTCTCCCTGCTAGGTGATTCTGGATAAGTTACCCAACCCCACTGAGGCTCAGTCTCCTCATCTGTAAAACAGGGTAATAGCATCACCTTGCAGAAGAAAGGCATTGTGGGGAGTAAGTGAGAGAAAATGTATGAAAACATTCATCACAGTATTGGTCACCTAGTAGTGACTCAATAAACTTCCATTTCTTGCTTTTCTTAATTTAGCATTAGTGAACCCTTTCTAGTGTGTTTAGTGGTAAAAAAGAACAGTATAAATGGAAATATGCATAATTCATAAATATATCTTATAACCTATAAAAATTAAAATACATGTTAAAATTGAGAGGAGGACTCAGTGGTTAATAAGAATGTCAACCTACCTAGCCATAAAATAGCAACTAAGCCAGTCTGTTTCTCAGGGAAACTGTTGAGGCTCTTCAATGGCAAGTCTATCTTCCCTTTTCTGTGCAAAGTTTTGGTCATGCTCAACATAGCCTTCCTCTTCAGATTGCCTGAGGTCAGGATCTTTGGGAGGGGTGCAATGAGGTATTGAGGAAAGGGACCTGGAATGACACACCATAGGGCCACAGTGCTCACTCTTGTGTATTAAGTTCCTTTCCCAGACCTACTGAATCAAAATGTGTGTTTTAACAAGATTTCCTGGAGATTTAGATGCCATGTGGAAGTTTAAGAAGCATTGGTCTAGAGAAGCCCACTGTAGCTGCTTCATCTGTTGAGATTGTGCATCTTGTCTTCCTTTTCTCTTCTCTGGAATCCACACTGTGTGCTTTATAAATGGAAAAAAGACAACGTATTACTATGGTAACAGGGCCCACTTTAATTGATCAGAACTCTTAAGAGGAGTAGAAGCAAGAGATGGCTTAGATAACAATTGAAAACTCATTTCAATGACAAGCAGGGTGGTGAGGGTAATGATCTATCAGTCAGGTAGTATCTGTGGAGTACCTGCTGTGCGCGGGGTATCTACTGGGTGCCAGTGCTGTAAGTGACACAAAGAAATCGCATGGTATCATGGAAGTGTGCAGGGATTTGTCAGACCTCGCTTGTAATTGGCTGGGCAGTTCTTCTCACCCTTGGCTGTCTGTGTTTCCTATCTGAAAGACATGTAATTCAGATTAGAGATCCTACATTCCTATCTAACTCTAAAGAGATGTGATTCTAATAGCCTTAGCCTCAAAATCTTGACCTAATTGGGTAGATAAAATTATTTTAAATGTAATTCAGATTAGAGATCCTAAATTCCGATCTGACTCTAAAGAGATGTGATTCTAATAGCCTTAGCCTCAAAATCTTGACCTAATTGGGTAGATAAAATTATTTTAAATGTAATTCAGATTAGAGATCCTAAATTCCGATCTGACTCTAAAGAGATGTGATTCTAATAGCCTTAGCCTCAAAATCTTGACCTAATTGGGTAGATAAAATTATTTTAAATGTAATTCAGATTAGAGATCCTAAATTCCGATCTGACTCTAAAGAGATGTGATTCTAATAGCCTTAGCCTCAAAATCTTGACCTAATTGGGTAGATAAAATTATTTTAAATGTAATTCAGATTAGAGATCCTAAATTCCGATCTGACTCTAAAGAGATGTGATTCTAATAGCCTTAGCCTCAAAATCTTGACCTAATTGGGTAGATAAAATTATTTTAAATGTAATTCAGATTAGAGATCCTAAATTCCGATCTGACTCTAAAGAGATGTGATTCTAATAGCCTTAGCCTCAAAATCTTGACCTAATTGGGTAGATAAAATTATTTTAAATGTAATTCAGATTAGAGATCCTAAATTCCGATCTGACTCTAAAGAGATGTGATTCTAATAGCCTTAGACTAAAAATCTTGGTCTAATTGGGTAGATAAAATTATTTTAAATGGTTACACATGAAACTGAGCAACCCAGGACAGGATATGATTAAGGGCTGAGCTGTGCGGAATTGGCTGCGCAAGGAACGCCAACTGGAAGTTGTGCGTAAAGGGCAGAAGTGTCTGGAACCTCTGTAAACTCCTCCCCCGACTCACAGAACCGCTGAGGGCAGCAGGCTGGACTTTCACATTTAGCCACTAGGTGTCGCTGTCATGATGTGAAATCTAAGGCGGGCACACAAGGTAACCGAGAAAACCTTGAGAGCCTCTCTGGGTGAAGGGACAATGCTGGCTTCCAGACCTAGAAACACGGGTTTCCAAGAGTGCTGAGAAACTTAAGAGCAACTTGGTTCTAAGCAGGAACTGGAGCATACTTACACTCTGCTCGGCCCAGGCTGACTCAGACGACAGGACAAAAGGGATCAGCAAGAGCCCACCCCCTCCCCCATACACACACACCCGCATCCACCATCATCCCCCACACCCCCACACCATCCCTCCCCACACCCCCCCCACACATACTTTTCAAATATCTGGGTGCTGGGGCCCTTCTTTCCCACAATCTACCCCATGTGTTGGGCTCTGCTACTTTGTTGCTTATTTGTCCTACAAATAGCCAGGAAAGGGGAGCAGCAGATGACGTAATAGTAACATCGCTGGACTCCTGGTTTGCGTCCTGGACTAAGTGGCTTAAGACGCACAGTGTGGCGCTTGTGCATGCCCAAAATCCAGAGAGGAGAATGGAGGAGAAGGGATTGCAACGTGACCATCTCCCCTGGGGGGATGATTTCTCCCTCTTTGTCTCTCCATCTCTGTCTGTCCGAGTGCACACATCCTAAAGCAAAAATCTCTCTTAAAAAAAAAGTAAGAAAAGAATTTGAGCCCAAATCAGAAGCCATTTCTTCCCTTCATGTGTACAACCACGGAAGAGCTTTACCTTGGCAAC